TCAAAACTACCTAAAAGTAATTAAAAAGTAATTATAACTACTTTTTAAATTACTTTCAAGTAATTGCAGTAACATGGACAGTAATTGTTAAAAGTAATGTTTACTGTCTTCCAATTATTTATAATTACTTTGAATTACTTTTGGCACCGAAAAGTAATTAGAAGTCAGTAATCATTACTTTTAACAATTACTGTCCATGTAACTGGAATTACTTGAAAGTAATTAAAAAAGTAGTTATAATTACTTTTTAATTACTTTTAGGTATACTTAACTACTTTAGATTTGAGACACATTTTAATTACTATCTGGGCAGTTATAAGTAATTATTAAAAAGTATTTGAATTATTCAGTAATTAAGAATAAGGTATTGCATAATTACTAAATAAAAAGTAATCAACAATTACTTAAATAATTACTTTCTAATTCCAAAGTAATTGTTCCAGATTGTAATATCCAAAATAATCATTACTTTACAGCTCTGGTTTTCTGTCAATGTCTCCTTAACGAACCCTCGAACAACATTTTCGCTAAGGAAACAGTTGTTTCAAATCACCCTCCGAACCACCCCTTTCAAGGAGCTCCAACATTTTTTGGACACCCTGTATATGTATAATTATGTTTGTATATTATAAGTACATTTTACATATCAATATAATAAAATTACATTTTATTATCTTTGTATATAATAATTAGATTGAGGATTTCATGCACTTATGGCGTACAATCATAATGAAAACCATTCAAAAAATGTACATTATGTGTATTAGATATACAGGGTGTCCCAAAACTCGGGGAGGAGCCGGAAATGGGGGGTAGCTGAGACGATTCTGAACAACAATTTCCTTTGAAAAAATGTCGGATGGGGTTTCGTTTTTGAATTATTAACGAAAAACACTGACCAATCACAGCGTCCGAGGAGCGCGCGTTCAGAGCATAGGCGTAAGCGAGGAGGCTCGAGCCAGCGAACAAGCGGGCCGGTAAAACAGCACGCGTTAATACCAGTGTGAGGTTGTAGCACATGAAACGTCTGATTTATAATGAAAACTTTAAGCAAATATAACTTTTTCTTTATATTAAACGTTACTGATCAAGATAGGAGGTATCGAAATCTGTACATTTAATGAAGAAATTACACATTTCCTACCTTCAAATACGTAATCGTTAAAAAATTTCAATGACAATTTATCATAATAAATTTGAATCTAACTTTAACATGAGAATCGTTAAAATGTACAACTTACAACTGTAAGAAAATGGATGAAAATATGTAAATGTTTGAAAAATAAAATGAAGGAGACTCTAAACTTTGCATTAATGCGTCAAAGATCTGAAGGATAGAAATATTTTTCGAGAAAGTGGATAAAAAAATTTGCCAATACAAAATGAGGCATTTCATGTGTTACAACGTAAAAATACCAGTAATAAAAATGCCTGAAATTAACCTTACATACCCTAAGTTTCAAATTTAATACCGAACTTTTAAATCGAATTGTACACTTGCAATTGGTTTGTTTTTAATATTTGGCTGTATGTATGTTACCATTGCATAATGTTCTTTTGAACAAAAGTTGAAAAAATAAACGTCAGCTGTCAAAATTGTTCAAATCATAAATACATTGATATTTTTTAAAATTTAATTTGGAAAATCAGGCTTCTAAGGGTTAACATGTGAAGGCAGAATTAAAATTAGACTCACCCATTGACTTGTAAGTTGACCTGTTTTCGTGAAGAAGGGCTGCGGCGAGTGGGTCATCGCACCGATCCTGGCCTGGCACCTGCTACGCGGCTCAGCTGATGGGACGGCCGGTCACTGAACTCACTGCACTTTACACAGGGTTTTCCACGGTCACTATCACTTTGCACCGAGTCCTTTGCACCCAATATTTGGTGGCCCCGAAAGGGGCCGATTTGTATTATTGGAGAAAGAATACGCCACCCTTTTTTCATAATTCTCTGGGAGTAAATTCTGCACCCGCACATATTTGTATAGGTGTAGAGAACTCTCCCGAAGAAATCGGTGCATCGACGACCGGCTGACGCTGAAATACAACATAAATAGTTAGTATGAATAGAATACATAATTCCGACAACAAACACGAAAGCGGTAAAAAGTTAAACGTACCCTGAGTTGCGGCTTACGTCGCGCAGCACACTTTGAGTGGGATCCTCAGCAATCCGATCCAGGACGTCTTCCTCCGAATTCGTGGAACGTAGGCGAGGGCGTCCCGAATCGGCAGACTTCGGTTGGAGGACCCCATCCGAATAAAGCCGCGTTACCAATAGCCGAATGCTCTTGGCAGCCGGCGGCCGCGATCGCGGATATCGTTGGCGATAACACCGCGCTGCCTCCTCCGAATTGCGCCCGCACTCCACATACACGCAAAATATTTCAAACCATTCTTGATTCGAGCGCACCATTTTTTCCCAGTTGACACTGCGGCGGTCATTTCGAAACTGAATTCTGGAGAAAAACAGTTTTATTTCCAGAAAACACTCCCACCCTTGTTCATTACCTGGCCCCCATCCCTTAGGAACGTTTCTTTCTTAACGAAATGCAACGTCGCGTTGTCTGAACACATGTTTCGCCGAACAGTCAATCGTAAGACAAACCCATTGCTGGTCGACTTGGAGGTAGCGGCCGTCGATGTTGGATACCTCGTTTTTACAACCACTTCCCCAAGGCACGGTAACTCCGCGATCTTGTCATAAATTTTGCGATAGCCATGCAGCGGCCGACTAACTGCTTTCGACAACCCCTACACGTGACGCACCGTTCTTTTCTATCAATGGGGAAGGTATTCCAAGTTTCGGCGGAAAGTAAATGATTTTAATCGTCGATTGTGCTCATCAGCCACCGAGATAATACTCTAAATGATTAATAAATCTTTATTTTGCAAATATCAAAATAATTCCCGAAAATAAACAAACATCGCAATATTTGAAGGCATGTATTATCTCAAACGGTTTCGAGTTTCAGTTCTCCATATGCCTGAAGTTTGTGATTTTTGGATTTTAAGAAACATTAAAATCATTTACTTTCGAAATGACCGCCGCAGTGTCAACTGGGAAAAAATGGTGCGCTCGAATCAAGAATGGTTTGAAATATTTTGCGTGTATGTGGAGTGCGGGCGCAATTCGGAGGAGGCAGCGCGGTGTTATCGCCAACGATATCCGCGATCGCGGCCGCCGGCTGCCAAGAGCATTCGGCTATTGGTAACGCGGCTTTATTCGGATGGGGTCCTCCAACCGAAGTCTGCCGATTCGGGACGCCCTCGCCTACGTTCCACGAATTCGGAGGAAGACGTCCTGGATCGGATTGCTGAGGATCCCACTCAAAGTGTGCTGCGCGACGTAAGCCGCAACTCAGGGTACGTTTAACTTTTTACCGCTTTCGTGTTTGTTGTCGGAATTATGTATTCTATTCATACTAACTATTTATGTTGTATTTCAGCGTCAGCCGGTCGTCGATGCACCGATTTCTTCGGGAGAGTTCTCTACACCTATACAAATATGTGCGGGTGCAGAATTTACTCCCAGAGAATTATGAAAAAAGGGTGGCGTATTCTTTCTCCAATAATACAAATCGGCCCCTTTCGGGGCCACCAAATATTGGGTGCAAAGGACTCGGTGCAAAGTGATAGTGACCGTGGAAAACCCTGTGTAAAGTGCAGTGAGTTCAGTGACCGGCCGTCCCATCAGCTGAGCCGCGTAGCAGGTGCCAGGCCAGGATCGGTGCGATGACCCACTCGCCGCAGCCCTTCTTCACGAAAACAGGTCAACTTACAAGTCAATGGGTGAGTCTAATTTTAATTCTGCCTTCACATGTTAACCCTTAGAAGCCTGATTTTCCAAATTAAATTTTAAAAAATATCAATGTATTTATGATTTGAACAATTTTGACAGCTGACGTTTATTTTTTCAACTTTTGTTCAAAAGAACATTATGCAATGGTAACATACATACAGCCAAATATTAAAAACAAACCAATTGCAAGTGTACAATTCGATTTAAAAGTTCGGTATTAAATTTGAAACTTAGGGTATGTAAGGTTAATTTCAGGCATTTTTATTACTGGTATTTTTACGTTGTAACACATGAAATGCCTCATTTTGTATTGGCAAATTTTTTTATCCACTTTCTCGAAAAATATTTCTATCCTTCAGATCTTTGACGCATTAATGCAAAGTTTAGAGTCTCCTTCATTTTATTTTTCAAACATTTACATATTTTCATCCATTTTCTTACAGTTGTAAGTTGTACATTTTAACGATTCTCATGTTAAAGTTAGATTCAAATTTATTATGATAAATTGTCATTGAAATTTTTTAACGATTACGTATTTGAAGGTAGGAAATGTGTAATTTCTTCATTAAATGTACAGATTTCGATACCTCCTATCTTGATCAGTAACGTTTAATATAAAGAAAAAGTTATATTTGCTTAAAGTTTTCATTATAAATCAGACGTTTCATGTGCTACAACCTCACACTGGTATTAACGCGTGCTGTTTTACCGGCCCGCTTGTTCGCTGGCTCGAGCCTCCTCGCTTACGCCTATGCTCTGAACGCGCGCTCCTCGGACGCTGTGATTGGTCAGTGTTTTTCGTTAATAATTCAAAAACGAAACCCCATCCGACATTTTTTCAAAGGAAATTGTTGTTCAGAATCGTCTCAGCTACCCCCCATTTCCGGCTCCTCCCCGAGTTTTGGGACACCCTGTATTTTACAATGAATATAATAATATTGTTATATCGTTTTGCATAAGTGCACATACTTTTTGGATACTTTTAGCACGTATTTATTAAATCAACCAGTACCATAAATGCATAAAATTCGCTACGTAATAATATTTACACATATTTGTAATAATTATATAATTTTAATTATAGTTATATAATTATAATAACTCTATCGTTCATTATTCTGCACTGAAGTTAATATGTTAGAATTGTAAAAGTGGCCATGAAGACGTCTGAACACCGTGACAAATTGTTTGCGCAGAAGAACGCGAAAGAGGAATAATGGTTCAATCGAGAGGAAAGTGAAGTCCCATCCGTCATCCTGGCGCGTGGCAAACCAGGCCAGAGGCCTGGATCCTCATCCTCCTCGTCCTCGTCCACGGAGAGGCTCCAAAGGATGCCAGGATCGGCTCAGGAGAGGCCGCGTGCTCAACGGCTGACAGATATTGAGCCTCACGCTACAAAAGTGAGTAAACATTCGCTATTGAAATGATTTACGAGCCAATATTTAATGTTTTTGGCTATAGGAGACAAGAAGAAACTAATAGTGAAGTTTTCAGCGTGGAATACAACGTTTAGACCAATAATTTTCATCCTTTGAAGTCATAGTTAGAAAATAATCAATTTGAATGAAATAGTGTAGGAGTAAAATATTTATTTCGGTCCGTTTTTAGCTGCGAAAAGGATATGATTATAATTGAAAGGAACAGTGTTATCTTGCTTTACTCAGGATATTAAATTAAGGAGATGATGTAGGTTTTAGTGGTTTCTGAGGAATGCAGAAGGCGATATGCTACAATTAACAGGCCCTCTTCAGAGGTTCAAGATCTTGCAAAAAATAAAAGTATAAACAATGTAGACAGTGGTGTACCTGAGGAAAGTAGTATAAATGATATTGGAAAATGTATGAAAATGTTTAAGCAAAGCAAGCAAGGATATGATAGTAGCTGAAAGAGGGAATAATAATTATACCCCTCTGTAGAGTATAATGATTCTAGATAAAGTATAAGGATTCAGAAATAAGTTTCTGAAGAAAATTAATAGTTAAAACTTCAGATTGCTATAAATTCCACATAAAATAGAAAATTATTATTAGTATGTTATCATTGCTTCTAGGTGTAAACTATGTGTTTACATCTAATTATAATTTATACAATCGATTAATTGATCGCATCGTATATTTAACATTTACAAGTATTAGAATTTTGCACAACTAATTTTTATGTTGAATATTACTCTCAAGATACCATGTATTCTATCCACAGAACCATTAATAGTTATTTTCGATTATTAGCTTCTGTAATTAACACGTTTGTTTCTTTTTCAGAATCTTTGTTTGAAAATTCATTTAAATGAATAATTAGACTATGAACAATTAGGACTAGAACAAATAAGTGACTTGAACAGTAGGCCAGAAATAAAATTCATAAACCACAGGAAAATTCTGATAAACTCCTTACTGATTATTAGTCTTTAATTTCAACATTTGATTTTGCGACGTTATGTTGTCATTATTTATATTTTGATAGAGAATTTTAAAATGTCCCTTTTGAGAAATGTCTATTTTTTGGGCCGCACTTTAATATACTAAATTACACGATTGAACTTCACTCCTGGCATTGACTTCCAATGCCTCGAGCATTATTTATAGCGAAATTTTTATCTGTTCCCTCGATAAATATTTCATCTGGCATGGCTGGTTATTCATAGAAATGCAAAACGTTCCATGTTATGTGTTACGATACAACTAACTCGTAGCCATCATTCACCTTGATCTTCCTTTCATTTTCATTTTGTATCCCGATGATATCAGCCGCCTTTCTATTAATTACTTACTCGACCTTTGTGTCTGGGTATATACATATAATAGTAGGTCGGAAACTGCGCCATACATCAAGTTTCTTTCCACATCTTATAGCTAATCTTCCTTCAAATTATTGTTTCGTTTAGCTTTCTCCCGTTCTGTTTGCTTTCTCCTTTTACCTAGGAAATAATACTTTCCGCGTACAAATTTCATCGACTTATTTAACATCATTGCCTATCGTTATTAAAGTGAAACAGTCCTAATTGTGATAAGTCCAGTTTATGTTGTTAATATCATTATTGACAGTTTGGTGGAATTCTGATGTATTTTAGTGGATTGAGCAGATTTAGCTTATTGGTATTTATTTTTGATTTACTAATATTATATTCCAAAAACTCTTACTCATTGTAATGGTTTCATATTTGTTGATTTATATGTTACCTCCTGAACCAACACAGAAAAAGGAAAAATGAGTTTTGTTTGGATTTGTTTAATAGTATTTCATATAATTTCATATAATACATTAAACTTATTTATGGAATAGTTTAAATAAAAATTCCTATTACTTACTTGTTAGATTCTAGGTGACAACGGAAACTTGTTTATTGTTCTTTTTCTCATAGATAATGGAAGGTGCTTCTATATATTATTTAACGAAGTATATTTGTGAAAAAAGTAAAAAATAATTTTTGTAGACAATTTTATATTGAATTCTTAAAAAAATCATTCTTTCATTTTTAAAAAATTCGATTTGCACGTTAGAGAAAAACTTTCTGTATGTTTTTGTAGGGTTCCGTGAGATCTACAACGAAAAACAAGTTTAAATAAAAAATGTTCATTATTAAAAGAGTTACGAATTCTTGAAAATTGGGAAGCTTTTTAAACATTTTTCCGCGAAAAAGAGCTAAAGAATAGAGTCTTTCGACAGTTAAATATTTTTTAAAAATTCCTCACCCAAAGACACATAGTTTCCCGTTTTGATCATTGAACTTCATTTATCTATTCAAGAGTTATAATTTTTTCAAATTTTAATCGTGAATTCTGGGGCGAAATTCGGCGCACTTTAACTGTAGTTAAGTTTACACTCAATTGTATTAAATAATCAACGCAAAACATTCAACCAAAATTTCCAGCCGTGTAAGCAAACAACTAGAAGCGGTTACTCAAGAGGGGCAAGAGTGGAGGAGGAGGAGGTGGACAAAAGATTTCATTTTTTCCGTTTTCTCCTTTTTGTCGATATGGAGCCTTTGGTCTTTGAACACGGTTTTCAGAGGGCCTGGTAAAGCCGCATTCACCAGAGAATGCGGAAGTTGGTTCTATTTCGCTCTGGTTTCGTTCGTCCATCTCGCTAGCGTGAGAGCAAATCGATAGGCTTTGCCGGCACCGTCGTATACACACACTGGAGTGCGTAACCGACATCCTCTCCTGGAACACCCGTCCGTTTGACGGAAGCCTTCTACACTAACACGCAAAACTCAGCGGACAAATTTTTAAATGGTTTAAAAACATGGAAGTTTTCAACCGATTGAAATTAAACTCCGTGAGGAGTAGTTTTGTAGTGCCCTCTGGGCATGTGTAAAGTTACATGAGCGAGGGTTGATGCGAAGGAGTTAATTCACCTCCTTAAAGGGGAGGGTGTAGAAAAACGCCTCTTTGGACAAAGCCAGGGGTGACGGGAGGGGTTGAAAAATTCAAAAAACCTTTGGGTGTGCTCCCCTTGATGCCCTCTACAAAATGCAGCCCTTGAAATCTCACTCGGACAAACCAACCCTCACAACTCCCCACCCCCTCTAAAATCCACAATTTTTGGACGACGGTCTCGATTTTGGACTCAATGCTATCTCTGGACTCTCTTGATCCAGAAAATGTCATCACTCATACCGAGCACACCATAGGCACCCTTTGGGGGGGTGGAACAGCACGCGAATTTTCACCTCTTTCATAAAGGAGCACTTCCACACATCGGAGAACAATGAATGCCGAAAAGGTCCCGTTTCGAAAACTGCCCCCGGAGCTGAAGGGAGGGGGGCAAAGGAAGGGATGGTCCACCCCAAGTGTAAGGGTTGGAACGTTGTCACGTTGCGTGGATTACATGTCCAACAGTCCAAACCATTGGAGCGACACAGTTTTGATGTCTTTTTCCAGCGTGAATAGCAATAAAATACGAAAAAGTCGATTTTTTTTAAAAACTTGCTTCCTACTTCAAGCCCATCGCCAGGGTGAACGAGCAACTCCACGGCAACGCCGTTCGTGGATTCGGACGCGCGAATGCTTCATTAACAGATCCCCAAAAAATCAGAGTTTTTGAATAACGCTTTCGTTGTTAAATCGGAGCAGATTTGAAAGAGTAGTAAGTGGGCCGGACGGAGTAGGCATTCAGAAGTGGAGCGAGGGCCTGCACCCGTACGTGGTCAGCCCACGTTAAATTGAGGTCCGATCTGGTTTGACCACGTACGTGTCAGGTCCTCGTTCCGCTTCTGAATGCCGGCTCACTTATTACTCTTTCAAATCTGCTCCGATTTAACAACAAAAGCGTGATTGCAAAAATCTGAATTTTTGGGTACCTGTTAATAAAGCATTCGCGCATCCGATACCACGAACGGCGTTGACGTGCGGTTGCTAGTTTACCCTGCAGATGGGCCTGAAATTGGGCGTGGGTTTTCCCAAAAAAAACGAAATTTTCGTATTTTATTGCCATTTACGCAGGAAAAAGGCATCAAAACTGTGTCAGCCCGATGCCCTACACTGTAAGACATGTGATTCACGCAGCGTGACAACGTTCCAACCCTTACTCTTGGGGTGGACCACCCCAACTTCTGCCACCCTCCCTTCAGCTCCGGGGCATTTTTCGAAACGGGACCTTTTCGGCATTCATCCTTCACGTATCGAGAACAAACATGGTGAATTTCATCGCCCTCCGATGTGTGGTAGTGCTCCCTTACGAAAGGGGTTGAAAATTTGCGAGCTTGCCCCCCCCCCCCCCGCCCCCAAAAGGTGCCTATGGGATGCATGGTATGGATGATAACATTTTCTAGATCAGGAAAGTCCAGAGAATGCATTGTGCCCAAAATCGAGACCGTCGTCCAAAAATTGTGGATTTTAGAGGGGGTAGGAGGTTGTGGGGGGTAGGTTTGTCCAAGAGGGATTTCAAGGGTGCATTTTGTAGAGGGCATCAAGGAGAGTCGCCCCAAAGGTTTTTTTGAATTTTTCAACCCCTTCCGTCATCCCTGGCCTGTTTCAAAGAGGCGTTTTTCTACACCCTCCCCTTTAGGGGGGTGAATTAACCCCTTCACATCAACCCTCGCCATTGCAACTTTGCACACATCCAGAAAACACTTGAAGACTATTTCTCACGAAGTTTCACCGAAATCGGTTGACAACTCTCATAGTTATGAGCATTTAAAAAATCGTTCCGGTTTGCTTGTCCGCTAGTGTAGTAACTGTTCAACTCTACAGATGAGAGATGCCCTCATCGTTGCAGCCAACTCCCAGGTACAAGCGTTAACCATTTTTTGTTTGTTTTTATTTTTTACTGTCGTGGTGGGAAAAATCATCGAATAGACACCCCAGAGATGGCGTTTGAGGAATAGTATTGGACTTTGAATCACTAAAAACATCACCACCTTCGCATACTCTCGCCCTCTGAAGGCTAAACTTGAGAA